GATTGAAAAAAATCCAATGAGTTCATCGGGATTTGAACCCGCGACCTTCCGACTTATAGCATAGTGCCTCAACCACTACGCTACCGCGTGCCCCCGCCTAGCAATGGGTATGCGTCAAAATATATTGGAGATATATTCCAGACAAATATGTGTATATATGTGTATGTCTGAAAATGTGTTGTTCAGATCATGGGATCGTCTAAATAGGCATAAATTAGACATTGGACTCTGTTCTCCAAACAAACGTATTTGCACTTTCGGTTTCTTGCCCAGAAAAATACATTTGTACATCTTACGTTGCGTGACTCAGTGCATAATGCTATCTCTCTGGGCTTGGCCTCTATCATTCGAACCAATGAGTATTGCAACAAAAGTGTTAACGTTACCCCGAAGATGATATTAAGGAGTGCAGACTTGATGCCGAAACTTGCTCCCACAATCGGCTCCAAAACCTTCCTCTTCTCTCTGTCAGCCCGTCCTTGTAGCTCTTGACCGAATGCGTCACTGGAGGTCAGCGCGCCCTGGAATATTCAGTGCGAAGGCCACGATTAAATTACTGTTATTCTCTCCCTAAAACATCTTTGACGACACGTCATATCTTGAGTACAAATAAACAAACAAACTCCGTGGTCTTAGTCCGCAAACGAACTATACCGACCGAGCGACCGCCGCTTGTNCGCCGGTTGTTAGCGAAGTTAGTGCAAACTCTAGCGGATAGAGAGTGTCGCGTGATCAGCGTAACAAATCCCCACGGCCGTTAATCTCGGTTGTCTAGACCGGAGCCGCTATTTCCTTGAAATAACACCTCAATTATCATCACTAGGCTGAGAGGACCCCGTTCCAGACCTACTACTTCTCAGAAAAAGAAATCTAGTAGCGCCGGGAATCGAACCCGGACCTCTCGATCTGTAGCAGGAACTCTGACTACAAGATCACAGAGGCAGTCAGAGTCAAGAGTCATGAATTGTATTATAAAACGAATATTGTTATTATTCTGACTGATAATTTCAGTAGTTATTCTCAGCCCCTCCAAGCAAATGCCCTGTTAGTGCATTGATCAGTCTACGACAGCTTCAAAATCCTTTCTAATTAATTTTGCTTCAAATGACATTCCTTTCGACGATATACGCCTAGTGACTGGAGGTTAACAACTTAATCCACAAAAACTGTGGTGTGAGCATCATTAACTCATGGAAAGTCAGATTGAAATGAGACGTGTCACACAGAATCGAGAAATTAATTACATAATAAATCAGAGCTCTGTTGAAATTGTAACATACGCGTGGTTCGCTAGATGTTGGAATGCTTGTAAAATCCCAACATACATATTCATTGTACATGTAGGTTCTATAGCCTGCCGCTATCATTAGGTAACAGAAAGTGTTTTATTAGTTTTGGAAAGGGAGTGTTAAAGAAACTGGTTTCACCTTGGAATTAGGTCCGCTAACAGGCCAGACTTATCCGTCTGTAGATCAATGAACCCTTAGAACACAATGATTACTATATATAAAACCAGTTTCTAGATCATAAATCTTTGTATTTTGCCCATAGCGCATGTGTTTGGTGTATTATTAGGATAAACAGCGATGTATTCCTAAAGAACATTAGTCTCTTGGTCTTTGTAATGAAGATGCAATTCTTCTTTATGTAGGAACTAAATTTTTAAATATTTATGTAAATTTTACTTCAGATTTTCAGTAAAGAAACATCACATACGTGAGAGAAATTGAAAGGAATTTCCACCTTTTTTTTACCAGGATGCTAGCTGGAATTCAGGATACCCTCGGAACGCCCACTTGACAAAGGTTTCCTGCTTCTTTCTCTGTCATCAAGCAAATTCTGAAATACTTCTCAAAATTCTACTTTGCTGTTATGCGCTTCGTGTACAGTCCTCACGATTAAAATTAATTAAAAGGAGGTTTTCCTTGCTGGAAAATTAATAACACTATTTTCCCAAACTGCGCAACTCGACGTTAATTTAGGATATCAAAATTCCTCGGCTCCTCTCTCAAGCAACTACTAACATTTACACGTTTATTCAATATTATCAGGGCGAACGAGACAAACCTAGGAACCTCTCCCCCCTACATCATCAGACAATCTCTCATTTCTCCCGCGAATTTTCCTTTCACTTTTCTATTCCACTTCATTAATCCTCTCTCTGGTTTTGTTCTTGTGTTTCAAAGGATCACGTTTCAAAAGCCAGACAACTTAATGGCTGACCTCATGGTGCAAGATACTTGTAGAGAAACCCGTAAGCTACTGATCAACAACTTCTTTGTTTTAATGGATACAGAAGATCCATCATTCACTCACTCACTCATACAGCTAGCCCATCTTGAGAAGCCGTCAATTGTGCAGCTGTTGAAGAATTTCCCAGAATGTTATGGAATCCAAAAGTTCATTACCGTGTTCACAAGAGCC